GCAAAAGAAAACAAACGGTAACCTGGTTGCCGAGTTCACGATGTGAAATAGCTTGTTTTCCAACGTCGTTGCCAAGCGACGAAATCCCAACCCCGATGGCAAACATCGGGGGGGGGCGGGGCGGTGTGTGTGTGTGTGTGTGTGTACTCATAGTCGTGCATGCCGTAGTCGTTAGACCATTGACCTCGCATCCCTACAAAGCCGGGACGGAGCACGCCGGGTTCTCACCGGACCAGGCTCTCACATCACCAAGCGCGAAGCGCCGTGAGATATTCGGCGAGTCGCATGAAGGGTGCGCTGCATCCTGCTAAGGGTTTTCGGCATCTTGTGCTTACTTCCTTGCGTACGGATGACAGCTGCGTATGACTTAATTTACTTTCTGGTGCTTTCACTTCCAGAGACAGTTGTAAGCACTGTGTAACTACCTTGAGGGTGCTTGACCATTGTAACACAACGTGGTGCGATCATCCCCCTTGCGCGGAGCGAGTGTTCTCCACCCCGCACAACATGATCTACTCGGCCACCATTATGGTTACCGCCAAAAAAAAAACGGAGGTAAAAAAAAAAGCGGTAACCTGGTTGCCGAGTTCACGAAGTGAATTGGATTGTTTTACAACGTCTTTGCCAAGCGACGAAAACCCAATCCCGATGGCAAACACCGGGGGGGCGGCTTGTTTTCCAACGTCGTTGCCAAGCGACGAAATCCCAACCCCGATGGCAAACATCGGCGGGGGGCGGGGCGGGGGGGGCAAAAAGGCGTGCAGGCAGAAAAAAGTTGAGCGATTGCTTTATCTGGCCCGCTAGTCAAGGAAGGGAAAAGATTGTTCGGAATAACGTGAGATTGTTCACGCGCACGTGATGATCAAGAATGCGCGAAAGACGTCGCGTAACGCGCAGCGTAGTACACTCGAAACAGGGAAGCACTGCCGACTAACGAATAAGTTCGGGCTCGCTAGGCTGAGAGTAAGCACGAGAGCTAGACGTAACCTGCAGCGTACTAGCTATGGTGTCGGCATGATAAGACTGCAGATAGTGCTTCGTCGAGCGGGGGGGGTCACTCATTTCGGCGGGTAGTATGGTGGAACCAAGCGTGTGAAGCGATCACCTCGTTTCCGAGGAAGCTGTGCAAGAAGCCCATGGAGATGTAGGCCCTGCGCATCGTCCGGCAGTGAATACATTACACACACCGGGGCACAAAGGGATGAGAGCGGAGAATCGTGAGTGAGATGCTTCACGGACATTGGACAGCTTCAAGCCAGCTTCAGCGCACTCGTTAGGCCACCAATGATGGAAATGGAGAGGATAGGCTAGGCTAATCACACTCCTCCTGTGGTGTTTGTTCACCCCAACTCGCCCCGTGTAACGAGGCTGCCCCGACATTACGGAGGTTCATCGAGCTGACCTTGCTAGGGCTCTTAATGATCTTCGACAAACAAAAATATCGAACCTCGCCCTCTCGAGGTCCCCCCCCCCCCCCCCCCCC